CCCCAAAACCCCAAAACCCCAAAACCCCATATAAAGGAAATCAGTTAGAAATTTACTTTAAAATGAAAAATAGTACAAACAAAGGAGATAAAGCCAGTAAGTCTGATTCTGACTCTGAACCTGGGTTTTGACAGAAGGTTTACCATATTAATAACTTTTTTGTAGTGAGCCAACATGTTGGTGGTGATATCTATGGAAACGTTCAAGACAGTTTTAAAGTGTAAGTAAGTTTGTTAATTCTGTGGGTCAATCGACTTTAGAGAGCTCAATCCATTTATCATTCCCTCAGAAGGCATAAATGAAAAGCCTAGATCTATGCCAAGTAGAGAGAAGAATGAATCTCCCACTGGTAGTGATATAAAAAGATATAACTCGCCTTCTCCTGAGAGATCTGTTATGAAAAGGAAGGAAGATGAGTCTGAGAAACATTTTAAAGTCAAAAAGACTATCAATCCAATATCAGACTCAAAAGAAGAGGAGAAAGATGTTTTAGAATGTGCTATAGGATTGTTTCAAAGCCCAAAAGAAGGCTATACAGACTCTAAAATGTCTAAAGCAAGAAAAGATACAATTTCAGTAGAGCCCAACCCCAAAGAAAAGGTCTTCGCAAAGAAAGTTTTTACTACAGAAGACGACATATCACTAAATGATAGAGACTCAGCCTTTAACTCAAAAGCATCGGAGGGGGAACAAGGTAAGCACTTTCAGAATAGCTATAGACGCTGAATCTGAGGAAATTGTCGAAAGAACCCCTGACAATAGCTCAATTGAAGGAGAGATGGTTGAAAATCATGATGTTATAAGAAAGCAACTCATGAAAGAAGATAACACCAAGGAGTATATAAGAATCTCCTCTAGGATTGCAGAATTGGAGTTGAGAATCAATAGATTGAGCTATGAAGTAATCAGCACTAAAGATAGATCAAAGCTGCAGTGCATTCTTAAGCTTGAAGTGAGGGTAGATCTTTTGAGAGACGAAAGAAGAGCTTTAGTTAAAAAAGCAGCTTATCAAGTGTAATTCTGGGATACTTTTTAAGTCAGGAACAATAATTACTGAAACATTCAACATCAGCTGATAGAAAGGGGTTTTGGGGTTTTGGGGTTTTGGGG